CGGGGTGCTGGAGACACGGGGAGCCAGGTCCCCAAGTGGGCAGCACAGCTGTGGGCCACAGCTCTGTCCCCCGCGGGCCCCAGGCTGCAGGGTGGGACGTGGCTCCATGAGCGAGCGTGGGCCCCAGCAGCGGAGCGCTCAGAGTGCACAAAACGTCAAGATGGTCGGCACTGAATGTTGAGCACCGATCAAAACAAAACCCAGCGTGCGAGTACAACCAAGTCACGTCTGCTTGCAAACGAAGCATCATCACTACTCACTGTTTGCTAGATGGTTTTAAAACTGGGGAGATATAAACCAAATCCAAGCCTTCATTACCACATAGTCAAAGTCCGCATGCTATTAAAAACCACTGCATTTAATACAATGTACTAAACAGCTCTTGCAACTATTTTTGTTTTCGAATTTGCAATACATACCAAGGAAAAGCATGTCACCCTCAAGAAAAACAGCCAAGGGGCTCCGAGCAGAAACCCATTTCCTGTAAGAAGACTGTGGCTTCAGGCCTCAGAGAAACCTCCCTCACGCTCTGGAAGGCGCCGCTGTCCTTCTAACCATCGTTAGCCACTGACCGCTTTTCAAAGCCAGTGTCCGTCCTAATGTGGTGTGTCATATCACCGTCAAGAGAGATGTTCTCAAGTTCCTGCAGGTGAAAAATCTGACTGTTTTCCTATGTAATTCTTTCCTTCCAAGAGGAGCTGTTTGGCAAAGGCCCCTGGTTTCTGAGCACTCCTCAGGGGCTCATGTGGCCTTCCAGGGACAAGGGAGGATCCCGCTCCTGGGCCTGGGGGCACCACTCAGGGGTGGCTGGGAAGTGTGAGGGCAGCTCCATCCCCTGATCCGGGGGCCTCTGACTTGTGAAGATGAGCTCTGGGGGGCCTGAAAGGACCAGAGATTCAGGACATGTGTTCTCAGACCTTACACATGTCACTCGACAGGCCTGCTCCCCCCGAGAACTCGGGCTTCTTGCGTGTAAACCAGGGACAGGACACTGCTGGACTCAACGGGTAGCTGAGGAGCTGCGGAGAAGACATATGGCCAGGCTTCCCCATCGGGATGTGCAGCCTTCCTCCAGAGCCCTAAGGGCACCATTAGTCTGTCTGTCTGTGTCCTTTTAGAAAACAAATCTGTGTCAGGGCAGAGGGAGAGTAACTAGGGCTTTTAATGGATTTTATATATGTCCTGAAAATACACGTATTATGAAAGAACAGTGTCCTATAAAAATAAATCCATGGGTTGAGAAATTCAGAAGATTAAACCTTATTTAAAATAACATTTGGGGTGCGCCTAGATGGCTCAGATGGTTAAGGGTCTGACTCTTGATCTCGGCTCAGGTCTTGATCTCAGGGTCGTGAGTTCAAGCCCCACGTCGCATGGAGCCTGCTTAATAAAGCAATAAAAAATAAAATAACACTTGGGGAACAGAGTGGTTGTTCTTATTGTGCAGAATGCTGCTTTAACCTCCTGAGGACAAAGGTGTCAAGGAGCAATGCCCCCAACATCACCCACATGGACTCAAGTGTGAACAGGTGGGGTGTGTGTGTGCAGAAGTATGGGGGTGTAGACACTGAGAAACCCTATTCCCCACCTCTGTACTCCTCTGTGCTCTTAGCCCATCTTCCCATGTTCTTTCCCCTTTATTACTTGCCTTTTGGTATATTTTTTATATTTGTCTCTACTATAAAACTAAGCATGCAATTTGGTTAATATCACTTATGAATAAAACCTTATTTTCCTTCTTTTATTCTGGAAAATGTTAACCCCTTCACTCTTAAGGAATGTGAATTAATTTAAAAGGAAATCAAAATCCCATTGAAAGTTTTGTAGACATAAACAAGGCCATTCTAAGCCTTGTGCGGAAAGGTGCAGGACTTGGAGGGGTCATGACGATTTTAATAAGAAAAACAAAGTAAGAGGACCCACTCTACCCAATGTTAAGGTTTATTGTACCGCTAAGGTAATGAGGCCAGTGTGGTATTGGTGGAGGGACAGACACCTGGATGGGTGGAACAGAATGCAGAACCCAGAACTAGACCCACACAAATATGTGGAAATGATTTCTGACAAAGGAGCAAAGCAACTCAAGTGAGAAGTGATCTTTTGTTCAACAACAGCCCGCCCAGGAGCAACAGGATACTCCTAGGCAATAATAAACCAAAGCAAAATGAAAAGCCCTCAACCTACACCTCACACTTTATACAAAAGTTAATTCAAAATGGACCACAGGACTTAGGTCTAAGATGCAACAGTGTAATACAAAGAAAAAAAAAACCGGAGAAAAATCTCCAGGACCTCAGGCTAGGCAGAGAGGTCCATCACAATCCATGAAAGGGAAAATTAGTAAACTGATCTTGTCAAAATGAAAAACTTTTTCTCTACCAAAAACCCTGGGGAGAAGATGGAAGACATATAAGTGAAGGAAAATAAAAGAAGGAAAATAAGGTTTTATTCATAAGATGGGTGCCAACCACTGGGACCAATGTCTAGAACACAGAAAGAATTTTCGAGACCAAATGCCCAATTAGAACACGGGCAAAGACACGAATCGGCTGTTCACTATAAGGATGTACAGATGGCAGATACATGCATGAAAATCTTCAACGTCATTTTCCATGAGGGAAATGCAAATTAAAATCACAATGTCACCATACATCTCATGATAGAACAGCTAAAATAAAAACTAGCGATGGTGCCAAATGCTGTCAGGGTTGTGCACATCCTGGGTCACTCCCACCTTGCTGGTGGGATGCAAAATAGTGCAGCCCTCCTAGAAAAGAGAAAGGCAGTTTTTTATAAAATTAAACATGTGCTTACCTTACTGTACTGTAGGGCATTCCTTCCCAAAGAAATGAAAGCTATGCTCGCACAAAAACCTGTACGTGGATGTTCAACACAATCTTATTCACAATAACCAAAAACTGGCAACGATCCATGTGCCTGCCCTTCAAAGAGTGAACGGTTCAAACAAAACAAAACAAAAACCCAGAATGGCAGTGCATCTGTACCACGAAACACTGCTCAGGAATAAAAAAAGAACATATACTCAACTGAGCAGATCTCAAGAGAATTGTACTTAGTGAAAAAAGCCGATCAAAAAAGGCTGCATATTGCATGACTCTGTTTATACAGCATTCTCGAAATGATGAAATTATAGAAATTGGGAAACAAGAGGAGCGGTGCCAAGGGCTTGGGGAGGGAGAAGGGAGGGCGTGGGCTGCAGCGGAAAAGGACAGCATGCACAACCCAGAGGTGGAACTGCCTGACCGGACTCTTGGTGACCACATGATCCGACTAACATTTAAAAAAGTTCAGGTGGCAAGAAAATCACAGAGCAGGCTGCTGCCGGCTCCACTTCCCATGACATCCTCCACCACTGTGTGGTCACTGTCTCCGCGGACTTGGCAGCAAGACCCGACCTTCACAAACCACCGAGCAGCGATTCAATGTCAAATCACAGAGCAAGCACCTTGTCTTAAACTTTCTCATCTTTGGGCAGAAGTGTGATACATTAGAAAGATTTTCAAAGTGGATCTGAACCAAATAGATTTTGTTCGACTCCGATTACTGAAAGTAGTCATTTCAGAATAGCTAAATTCTTGAGAGTTCTTGCTAACCAACATTGTGTGGTAATTTTTAACTAGATTCCTTCCCTTGAGGTTTTTGTTTATTCCACTTAAAACTATTGATGGGCCCTTTTCCTTGTCTGGTAGAAACATGTTATCAGGCTGACGGCCTCCGGCAGGTCACTTGGGCCACCCTTCAAGAAGGGCTGCTCTGTTCAAGGTTCCCCAGCTCCGGGCACCAGGTAGTAATGGCCGAGGGGGCCCCGCCACCACCCGCAAGTGACCCGCCAGTGAGCCTGTCGTCCCGAGCCACCCCCCGACTTGTGGGCCATGGTCTGTAAAATGTCCCTCTGACCCTGGTGAGTTAAAAATCTCAAATAACCACAGATGTTAGATAGGGTGCTCCCTACACTTTCCTTCCTCTGAAAAACTCTTTCTAGCCCAGTGTGGGTGTCCCTTGCTGGGTCAGCCAGAGGCCCCCCTGAACCATGTTTACACCCCTCAGCATACATCCTAGCCACCTCATGCGCCTGCCACGGATGCAGAGCTGAAGTGCACACATGTTGTTGATTCTCACGTTGTCGCAATTGGAAAACAGTGAACAGGAACCAGAACGCGCCTACTTCCTGCCAGTCTTACTGCGATCCCCAAAGAAACTTAACCGTTTTGCAAACCCCACTCTACCTTCCGAAACAGAGGGCGAGAGTGGATCCTGAAAGAAACGTGGAGCTGCCACCAGCATCCCACAAGACCCAGAGCCACCGCGGGGGGCGGGGGGGGGGGGGCTAGCGCAGTGACGGCAGAACATACACATCCCGGGGGCCTCCACCCCTGGCGTCGGGCCCAGGAGGGGCGGGCGCGCCGCCAGGTCACAGGCGCCAGGCGCGCAGGTGGCTGCAGGTGGCCCAGGCGGCTGCAAGGGGCTGCAGGCAGCGCGCGCTGGCGCTGGGACAGGCCCCGCGAAGGCGGAAGCCAGGCGAGTCTCCAGTCACCGCCCCCCAGTGATCAAAGGGAAACTCGCTTCGTTCCGGGGTGGGGCCGGTGCGAACTGGCAGGGACCCCCAGCCTGCCCTTCGGCTCGCCCCCAGCACCCAGCTCCATGTCGCCCGGAGCCGCCTCTTTTGACCCTTGTCACCTCCCACCCCTAAACCCCACCCCCACCGACACCCCGAGGCCGCGCGCTCTTCCCGAGACCCGGCCTCGGCGCCTGGCCTGAGGCCGCACCTGGAAACCCGTCGGGTTCCAGCGCCCGCCGCCGCAGACCGGCGTCCACGCCCGCGCCCACCCACTCGCAGGGAGGCCTCGGGCTGCCACCTGCCCGCCACCTGCGCCGCTGCCCAGGACAGCCCCGCGACCCGGGTCCCGCCCAGGTGCCCGCGGTCCCCGCTCCGGGGCGCGGAAACAAAGCCCCGGGCCGCCCCCGCCACGATCACTCACCGCGCGCTCGCCTCTCCGAGGCCGCGAGGGGCGCCGCGGGGTCCCAGGCCGCCTCTCCGCAGCCCGGGCCCCACTCGTGGGCAGCCGGGTCCCGGAGCTAGCTGCCGGCACCGCCTTCCGTAGAGGGAGACGCGGGCCGCCAGGGCCGGAGGCTCGTCCTCGCTGGCTCGCGGCGATGACTGAC